AAAATACTGTATTTAAAATGCTTGTCGGACAGATATTTCTCGATTAGTTCAATAGATACATGTATAATTTTCTAAATAACACTTTCACTAGATTTAAATTTCTTGTACATTGAGTATGCACTCATTCCAGAAAAAAATCTGTAAAACACCATAAGAGGCACTAGAAGGACCTCCATCTTGTTCCAGGTGATAAAACCTATGTAGCGAGTCTTGGTAAAAATATTTCTGTTGTAAGAGTCTTGTAGCCAGTACATAAGATTTGTAATAACTAGAATCATTCCACAAGCAGCGGCACATTTTGAACCGTGTTCTCTTACTGTATAGCGGTGATAATTAACCAAAAGCAAAGTTTGCAAGAATGTTTCCAACATTCCAAATATACGACTAACAATTGTAGACTTTGATAGAGTTAAACCTGACATAGCCGCTAACAATCCAAACGTAAAATAGGCCATGATTCCCGTAGAACTCAGAATCAAAATATATTCTCGGAAAATCATTGGTTTTCTATCATAATTTGAGTTAATCTTCAGTTTTTGACTGCACACATACACAATAATACATGTGCGGAAAGCACTAAGAATCTCACTGCAGTCTAGAACAATAATAAGATCTTCATTTTTCCATTCATACACAAAATCCAAAAGGACAGTCGTTATAAAAATTGGAACGTTGACAAATATTCCAAATATAAGAGCCAAGACATTGTAACCATCCATTTCTCTGGAGTTAGTCATGGTGTAATTGTCACTACGTAAAACAGAGAATGTAGAAGTAGGTCTTACGTTTTGTAATTTCTTGGCATTTTGCCACAGAGATATCAGTAAGGTTGACGCAAGAATGCAGAATTCAAGTTGAGGCGGTAGGAGCATAATAGATAATTTCCGTCCCAATACTTTTTGAATTTTCGAAGTATGAAAGCATGATCTGTTTTGAAAGCCTGTTGTATTCCCCTGGGCGAACATATTGTTTATTGTGGAACTATACCATATAGAAAAGTTCGCAACGATGATACTGGCAATTGAAAAATGAAAACAAAATGATGGCTGAAATTGTACTTCTTTATTATACGTCAGAAGAACGGTTTGTAAGATCAGAAATAATAAGTAAATTGCGTTGGTAAATAGGAGAAATGTATTGTGAGCATCGTCATTCGTTGTTTTTGTCAGACATTCTAGATACACAATTATTTTTATGCTCAAGTATATCATGTTGGCTAATCCAAATATCCACAGAAATCCTAACTGCAAAGTCATGGAAGGATCTTTGTCTATAATTTCTGAGCCCGTCCCGAGCCTTCGCCGACAAGTGGAAAACAGTAAAAACAGAATGGAAAGTAATCCAAAGATGATGCATACCGTAAGGACAGCCCATTTGCTGGCAATAACAGTATCACTGGCATTTCTCTCAGCAGATATCACCCCAAAAATGACGAAGACACCTGCCAACACATGTGACAAAAATAAGTAAGATGCCACCCTTCCGTCATATCGAAATGCATGTCGGTTTGCTCTCGGTAATATTGGTTGGAAAAAAATCCGAATGGCAGATTTGACAAAGTTTCTCATTTGTATAATACAACACTTTCAGAAGAATCCTATGAAACACGGGTTCATAAAGGAAAAATGTGAAAGTAAATACAAGTTCTTCCTTTCTGGAGTCGTCAGTTATTCTGAACATTATCTTAAAATACCTTTCTAAGTTTTCGAACAAAACCCCCAAATATTTCCTTCCTTATTTTTCGATAAATGACAGTTGATAAGGGTAAATATTAACAAGCTTCACAAGAGTAGTATCAATTAGTGTCAATCAATTTTAATTTAATCAAATCTTTTCCATCTTTTTTACATATGAATTTTCTCTTTTAAATATTTTTTTTAAGAAAATATGAGGTATTCAAATTAACAAGTATTAATTATCTATATTCTTTACTTTTACTGAAATACCTGTTTTGATCGTACATCTCTTCTACTATTATTTTGTTGATTTCTGTTTTTTTTTTTTTTTTTTTTTTTTTTTTTTTTTTTTTTTTTTTTTTTTTTTTTTTTTGGCTTGATTCCCTTCGAGATTTTTTTTTATTCATTCATGTTAGGATGCCATCACTGGTCGAAACAAGGCTGCAAATTTAGGTCTGTTCGGTAATTGAGCAGTAAACATCTTCGAGCCAGCATCTTTTGTGGGATTCTTTTTATACAGTCTCATCCAAAGAACCGGTCTCCATGAACTGTTTGTTTAGATCTTATATTTTTTCTTCTGTCTCCTTGTTTTCTCGGCAAATTCTGAATAGTCAGCTTTTATTTTTTTTTCCGGTATCGATCAGCTAAGTAATATCACATACCAAAGCTATCCCTTTGCAAAGAGGTGGATTAAAAAAAACTATTAATTCTTGCCTCAATAAATATTCAATTAACTTCTCTGTTCCCATTCGCTGTTTCAAATTTCCGAATTGTAAGAGTCATCATAACCTATACATAGGCGGAAAGATACACTTGCATGCCAAATATTTTTGTTAAGTGTATATCATTTTGATCCATGAAATATTTTATATTGAAATGGAAATCTATTCAGCCGTGTATCAGTATGAACTGCAATTTCTATGTTTGTATTAAGTACTATTTCCAAACGTCTGCACTTTGATTAATGCAAAATAAATGTGATATTTACAAAAAATATACCATTTGTCCGCCTGTATGGTTCATGTTTTTGAAATTTGCAATTTATACATTTTAAGTAAACCGTTTTTATCATTTTGTCCTCAATGTACGTGATTTTATTGGTAAACATGTTTTAGTTTAACCAGTAAAGGGATAGTAAAGGAAATACATATTAATAGGTCAATAGTTATTAAGATATTCAATAATACTAGAGTTTTTACTGGTTCAAATATTTAAACAAATAAATACATACTGTACAAAACTAATATGTTGACTGCACGTAAAGACTGCATTTTTGTTGAGATACATATTTCCTGTAAATATTTCATGTCATTTGGTATACTAAATAACAATTTAAACAAATTTTGTTTCAAGATATTTATCATTTTGTGTATGAAGTTTCAAGATATGTTTCCTGATTTTGCCATTTAATCATTTTGAAAACAAAAGCTTGCTATTATCTTGGTATACTCAATTCGTTGATAAGGCACTAAAAACATAATAACCATGCGAGTGTTTGAGGGAAAAAATCTAATGAATTCTTGTAAATCTGTGTACATTACCCATTATATCGAACGGCTGTGGAAAGAGCAAACATGCATACATCCATATATTGTGCCTTTTCTTACTGTCTGTTTTTCTTTTCCACTTTCTTCTGTTTGAGTTGCAGGTAAATTTACTTAACTTGTTAAGTATTAACAACATCATGTAGAGGGTGAAGATAACTAACATTGCGTAGTTTCATAAATCCAACAAAGTATACAAATCATGAATGGAGCATAAACACTGTGCTCTAGAAACAGAGATGGGATCAGGTGCCTTGGAAGAAGAAGTCATTCCTGTCGACCGGTCACACCCGTTGTTCGCCCCTGTACTGATCAGGTAAACTGAATCAGTAGAATGGTATATATTTAAAAATACAATGGCTTAACAATTGGTGAGAAACCAATAGGTTGTATTTGCAAACAAGGTCATAAAACGACCACATAGTTTCAGAAATGCTGACTTTAACGAGATAAATAAAAACAGTGTAATACATGTATCAACCTATTCATCAGTAGCCTACCTTGTTTTAAAAATTGATTGTATTCAAAAAAAAATTTTGAGTATTGAATCAGTTGGGAAACATACACATCATAAGCAGATCAAGTGATTGTGGATTATTACCAATGAAAGTTGGCGACAGAAAAGTTGGTAATCCATTTTGATATAAAGTTTAGTAGTTAGTTGCGCATTAACGTCTATAGATGGAAAACATGCAAGTACGAAGCAGATGTGGCTGATTGTGGTGCCCTTTATTACGAGTTCTCAATGGGATGAATCCAGTTGACATATGAATGAAAACAACTATTGTTGATTGATGATAATAAGTTGATCATGATTAACCAGGATGTTTTTTTTTTCCTATTTCAATAGCGCTAGCAAAACTTTTTCTATAATGCGGAAACATGAAGTTTAATTTAAATGTTCCGTTCAAAGTTCATAAAAGGAAGAAAATAAATAACTAATATTAGCTCATAAAAGGAAGAAAATCTATGTATATTTCATTCTGAAAAAGCCAACACAATGGAAACTAAACTCGGATATGCCTCGCGTGTTCTGTCCTTACCAATTTCTCCTATGTCACTGCGAAGTGGTCATTTACAACAACTTTACAAACGGGATTTGGTACCATCCATATTGTCTCTGAGCCACGTTATTGCTGGTCTTATGGTAATTCTGGGACTATTGTCTGCAGAGCAGGACCAAAGTGAGTCTTCTAATATCGTCAATTGGTGCGTCGTTATGATATGTTCCCTGAGTGGACTTGTGTCATCTATAGTTCTGCTAGTCTGTGGATATCAAAATACAAGGGATAATCGATGGAACAAAATGAAAGAACCATCACTGTATTTGCGTTTATGCTTCTTATGGATTTTTGGACTAGCTGATTTGCTGCACTTTAGTGTCAATCTGCTTGTATATATAGAATGCATCAGCTTGATAGAAAATATCACACACGTTTCCTTCTCTATCGTCACAAGCATTATTATGATAATGTTTATAATACTTCAAATGGTATTGATTACATATTACCGGTACTCCCTCTTCAAAATTAGAAGATTTGTGAATATATCTGTTGTATGCATTCTTTTGGCAAACTTCTCTATTTGGTACAACACTACAATTAACAATATAACTACTGGTCACCGTATATCGCCGTACAGAAACGCTTCATGTTTTTACAATTCTTATTTTCATACGAATCTTAGCAGGAAAATAGCTCCATTTCTCCTACCTCCAAGAGTCGAGTTTGGTATCTTAGCATCAATTTTTCTTATATCAATTTGGCATAAATCAACGCGAATGGCTGTGAATACAGACAGAAATTCTCCATCGCAGGACCAGTACGAAGCCATAAACTGGAACGAAGATGACGAACCTGATGTTATAGGTACGAGAGCCCCTGCAACCGGAACAAAAGTCATAGCACCCATACTTGGAATTTTGATTAACATGCCAGTATTTTTGTCAATGATTCTTACTGCTGTGATTTATAGGTGGAAAAACAAAACTGTGATTGTTGTAATGGATTATACACAAGCCTTCAGTGCAATCTGCACATGCGTTATGTCCTGTATCTGCACTCATATAATGAAAAAATATTGCAAATATTCACAAATGCCTTTGACTGCCAATGAATACATATTAATTCTAAGTTCTTCGGGAACAATTGCTTTTTTCACAATTGGCCTCATCGCTGGACTTACCGGGCAAACACTGACCAAATCAATAATTGTCAGTCGGATATTTTGTATATTAGAAACATACATCCAAACACATCTGTTCATAATAACGCGCCGGTTTAGAACACATGGAAGGTCGTCAAGAACTCTATCATTCTGTGGAACTATTCTGGTCATCACGAATCTGATGTACTGGGCTTTAAATTCCTACAATCGTGGTATTTTTTCTGTGACTAGATTTGGATATTTCAACAATATAGGTTTTATCAGAACGACACTGGTTCCTTTACTTACTTTTTACAGATTTTTCTCTGCAATGCATGCTTATTCTATGTACTACAAAAATAAACAGTGATATCTGTGTGTATTTGTTGTTTGTTTGCTTTAAGGGTCTTCGAGTATTTTTCACTCTCGTTAGGATAGCATCGATGGAAAGCTGCATAATTGGCCCGTGTACTCCACGATTATGGCCATTGACCTGGGTAGGATGCTTTTCCTGCTTCTGATAAGACATATAACCTCATTTAATTGGACAGATCTCTAGGATTCGTAGAGTTTGACATTGGTTTATCAAAATAAAACACTGCTATAAATAATGTCATTTTATCTTGATAATTAGGTTTTCATTAATGTTTTTGTTTGATTTTTATTTATTTTTACGTCATCAGGTAACCTGTTGGAATTTGTTTTTGTCCGTCGTCGTGCGTCGTTCCTTTCTGTGTCGGTTCTAAACTTTTGAAAATTTTCAGCGTCTTCTCTTGCTTATTAATATTGAAGTGCATATATATATATATATATATATATATATATATATATATATATATATATATATATATATATATATATATATATATCAGTGCCGATAAATATAACCAGAGGCGAAAACAATCAAATCAGTGATACGACTTTACACGCACGGCCTTGGTTTGATTCTACCTTAAATTATTGATAAGAACTAATAGGTAACTGTATGTTTGCGCCATGAAATGGAAATTCTTATTTATCATTTCTTTATGTGAGTATTTCGAGTATTTTCTTTCATTTTCTTTCACCTGTTAAAATTTAGAGTTGAAAAATGTGCTGATTAATCTTGCGTATCAAACGGCTCATAATCCATAATCATGAAAGAATGGTCATATGACTTGATTACGAAAACTTTTTTTCGCTTATTTGTTAAATATTGATCGAATTACACTTTTCCATCTGTAAAAAGAAAATATATGTATATGACCGCTGGATAGGGGATGCTCAGTCCTCCAAGGCACCTGCGTGATCGGAAGGTCATGTGTTCGAATCACGGCCGCTAAAGACCTAAGTCAATAAAAAGAGGTAGCATTTGTTCCTTTGCCAAGTGCTCGGCACTTTTGAGTGAAAGTTGTGGGTCCTTCGGATGAGACCTTGACAGAAGGAGGACCCGTGTCAAGGTAGGCGTTGGCACGATAAAGAACCCTCACTGCTCAATGGCCCTGAGTGCCGAGTAAAGGTCTAAATGTGAAGCCCTTCACCGGTATCTGGGGACGTCTTTATATGAGTGAAAAATTCTCGAATGGGGCGTAAAAGAACACACAATCAATCAATCAATCCAAGGCACCTGATCCCACCTCTGTTTCAAAGGTCTATATTTCCTCTACTCACAATTTATATTGTTAAATAATGGGTCTTTTGAGCACGATTACTATATATAACATCATATTTTATATCTGATTTTATAAAATATTGTCTGCAACTATATAATATATATATATATATATATATATATATATATATATATATATATATATATATATATATATATATATATATATATATATATATATATATATATATATAGTGATTCAAATATTTTACGCAGTTCGAAACCAACTAGGGAAACAAAGCTAGAATTTTTCCTCTTGCTAACAATTGCATATGTCATCCCGAACTCCCAACCCAGCATTCTTGGAGTTGAAAGCAGAATAATTAAGTTCACACTGATCCAGTTAGCACAATATTTCGCAAGACGGCGTACCTGTGCAATCTCAATACACAACTGCAGAAAAAATGTGTGATTTTTGTTGTAATTCTTAATTCAAATTAATAATATATTTAGAAATAATGTATAGGTTTAGGTTTAAGGGTTTCAAGTGATATCTGCATCATAATTAACATTCAAAAGAAGGCACAATATACATACGTACATGTATAACTTTCAAAATATTCATCATATTTTGAAACCAGACAAGTATATAACGTCTATAGGGTGTTGAACCTGGACGTGTCAGTTAGAATACATGTAACAGAAATAGCTTTAAAAATAGAATTCAAACTGAATAAGACGCTGAAACTTCTTTCCAATTGGAATGATTTTGATACATGCCTTTAGGGTTAAGAGTTGCACATAAGATTCCATACCATTTCTTGCGAGATGTACAATAGATCAGTATGCTGGAGTTTTCTCATTTCCTTCTGTAGAGCAGGAGTGGAAACATTGGCAAAACTCTTCAGCATGGTGGCATGCTATAAGTGCAATGAATTCGACTCTATTGTTTTTTTTTTTTACTTTTGTGATTAAGCTGAAACATGACGTTAATAGGCAAGACATGGACAGATTTGTTGATATCAACATAACAATAAAAGCAGCAAAAGAACAGAGACAACATTAGCTGTATTACTTCAAATTTTGATGGTTATCAAACGATTTGATTTTCATTATCCGAGTAACAAAGATCACCCTACAACGCTTTTCTTTTCTCCCACAGTTTGTTCGGGCATTTACCCTACAACGCTTTTCTCCCCCAGTTTGTTCGGGCCTGAAATGCAATTACTTTTCATGTTGATAAATGATTACTTCTTTCCTTTTGCTCTATTGCTTTGGTTCTCCTAGTCAGATTCCAGAGGTGATCTTTCATGTCTTTATCGTAGATGTGTACAAATGTGAAATAGTGGACTCCAGTACGTACTTCACCTGCACTAACAGCACGGAATGTCCTGCTACGTGTTTTTATCAGACGGAACATTCAATTTGTGGGGTAGAGGTCATAGATGGCTACTCCGCACGGATTTGTGCTTGTGTAGGTAAGAAAATTTGATATACAACACATCTCAATCATTTTGCATATGAGGTTGTCTATATTTTTTCTAGAATTTTTTCTGCATTAACTGAGTCTTCCTCAGCTTGGTAAACAATGTGAATTAACGGGAATTTATCATAAACAACTCACATGCTTAGAGAATAGTTTGAAAAGTTGATTGGGGCTAATTGAAGACCTTCTTTAGATATTTTGTGGTAACAGAATACTTTCGCTAACTTTCTTACAGCACACGAATGCTCCAAGAATTCAGACTGTAGACGCCATCACTGCAGTTCAGGATACAGTTCCATCTGTTCAACAACGACTAATAAGTGTGAATGTCAGCATACTTGTGGCCATAACTCTGACTGCAGTAGGTACTCCTGTCCACAAGGGGGCGACATAGTATGCTCTGCAGTCTACGGAACAACGCACATATGCGCATGTCAGACGACATGTGCTACGCATGCGGAGTGCGATAACCATGCATGTTCTACAGGAAGGACATCCGTTTGTTCTGGGGGTAGCTGCCAATGTCACAAAATCTGTAGAACTGATTCTGAATGTCCTACCCAGGTCACGTGTTCATCTGGCACTATGCCTCGTTGTTCATCTTCTGCCAAACATACCTGCACCTGTGAAACACGTTAGTAAAAATGGTTTTTCCTGGTAAATTAAGAAAAAGGTTATAAAGCAATTATATTATAACTGTCAAAATATTAACTTTAAATGTCTGAAAAGACTGTTCTACTTTTTTCCATTCAAATAAATTAAACCGACTTTCTACATTTTCGGAGAAGGAGAAGAAATAAGTATTGCGGTTAGGCCATTCCAATTTGTGTGTGTGTGTGTGTGTTTAGTGTCCGCGTGCGCTTTGGTTTTTGATACCCCATATCAGAAAAAAACAAACAAAATCAGGAGTCCAAAAATTTATTATTCTGGTCGAAATCTGAGAATTCTCTCAATTTCTCTAAATATTTGTTTACAATATGTCATATTAGTTATATTTTAAGCATTTAATACTTTGATTTTGCTGAAGAATTGATATTCCTACAAGAAAAATAGATTAATGAAATCAAATCCCTTGAATGACGTCATTTTTATGACTATGAAGCATGTGGGGTTTTTTTGTTTGTTTTTTGTTTGTTTGTTTGTTTGGTTTTTTTTTTTTTTTGGTCTTGTTTGTTTGTTTGCTTTTTCTTGCGAATAGGTAGGTGGGTCTTTTAATGATGGGTGAACGCTAAACAGAGAAAAAACTTGGAATTGCCTTACTTGTGCAAATCCTGAGAAAATAAATTTCTACACCCTTCGAAGTATGATCCTACATGTAACATTTTACTTTTCAGAAAGCAACTATGTTAAAGACTGTACTTCATCATCTGCTTGTTCCCACAACTACTGTAATACAGGGCTAGTACCCTATTGTTCATCACGTCACTGTGGTTGTACAGGTAGGTAAGGAAGTGTGTCTTTCGGCTTGTCAATTATATCACAGAATGATTACCGATCTAAAAAAATAACTCCGATACACTACAATTCATAATGCAAGGATATACATGAACTGCTTTACTGAACAATACTGAAATTACAGACTCGAAATAGGTAACTAGAAAGTTTCAGGAAGCATTACAAGTGATTAGAAAATTACCAAATTAACATTAGATATTATATTAGAACTATATAAATAGCCAAAATATAACTGTATCACAGAAAGATTTAACGTATCCCTAACGAAAATGTACTATAGTAAACTATAGTTTACTATACCGATACATGAAGTTAACTGTAGTTTACTATACCGATACATGATGTTAACTATAGTTTACTATAGTATCAAAGAATTTACTAATGTTAATCAAAGTTTTTAGTATAGTTAATCAATATATCTTTGCTATAAAATTCAGATCGTTATATTTTTTTAAAGTCCTACAAGCAATTTCGGTATATTAAAAGAAAATATTACTTATATATTCACAAATTATTTCAAACATTTACATCATAGAAGTGTAATTTAAGATATATAAAGGCTCTTAACATTCAGTAAAGCTCACAGTAAATAAAAGTATCAAAGTATTTACTATGGTTACATGTAACTATCGTAAATTTCTCTTTACAGCAACATAATAGGTCAAGATATAAATATTAGTGAAATTACAATATAACAGGACAATTTTTTCAATGACTCCATTAATAATTGATGGCAGATACTGAAATAATTTAACTGAAATAGTCCATTACAATTAATCACTCCACTTCTATTATTGCATGTTCAAAGGTCATAAATCAACTATTACAAACATGATCAATATACAAATAATACAACAATAACATGTATTAACCATTCGGGTTCCTCAATCAATCTACTAAAATAGCATGATCAGTAAATATATAAATCTTAAAATAGAATATCAAAACATACTTTACATGAACCACCCCACTAGATTCATACACCAAAAGTCATGTCCATCTCGCCGTCCATCCGTCTTTCCATTTGTGTAAATCAGGCTCATATAATTATCTTATTATCCTTCATGGATTTTTTAAAAATTATTTTAAAAGCATAATTCAATACAAACAATCCATCATTTTTTTTATCAGAATGTTTTCTTTTTCACCATTTTGATATAATACTGATTTTTGTATTTGGTAAAAAAAAAATCTAATCATATCGCAAAAAGGAAGAGAGGTTTTACAACTAGAAGTCTAAATTCGAAATTTTAACCGAAGGAATAAATATAATAATTTCTTTACACCATCAATATCTAAAATAAATGATTGTTTTACTTTAGATAATTGGGGGTTTTTTTCTGCATGGAGTTCTCACTGGCATTGGTATTTAACATCCTGAATAATAACATGTATACTTTTTTGTGGTAGACCACTTATTATAAATAAATTAAGATGATGTCCTGATATTTACCCGTATTTGAAAACAATATTTGAAGTCAAGGGTCTTCGCGAATCAATCTATTGCCAGTTCAGCTTTTTTATTGATGACATATTATACGTAATTGTCTTCTCGCTTCCTTTACTGTTAAAGAAAAATCATTTTAAAAAATTAAATAAAAAAAAAAAAAATAAAGAAACATAAAGGTGGGCTACATACTCTTTCGTTGAGATAAACCATTGTGATACTTATAAACATTACTCACAAGAGTTGAAAACAAAGGTCCATCAACTTATGCTGATTCTTTCATTTCCTTATCATTTTTTAAATAAGTAAACAGCAAAGCTTTTTTATGTATAAGGAACTAGAAATCTTGCTTAGTAAGGAAGATTAAACGTCCCTTCCAATAATACGATTTCAACAGGTTGGAGAGAATACTCGAAATCGGGTATTATCCGTGAAATCGCGTATAGGGCGCATTTTGCCGAGTCAACTTTCACCTAGAGACAAATGTTATCTAAAGGTATCACTAGCCAAATAACAATTTGGAAGTCTGAATTAATGCGCATATAACAACAAATACCCGTGGAGCTTAGTACATTTCATGATCTGCACCCAAACAAACGTTCGTTCTGCTTTTATATTTTATATAATGTTAAATGTATTTGCATCTTCTTCATGTTCATACCCAACACAACAGAACTATTAAATATCTTGAATTTATAATATTTCCACATCAATACGACAAACATGAACATTTTGTAAATAATTCAATTTATACGGAAACACATTTCACACACAAAATAATCTGACATTTAAACAGGGGGTTTTCTATCGTATTTGATTGCTTTAACATTCATCTTGTGCATAAAAATAATTCATTACAAAATGTATAAACTATTTAAGGGTTAAAATGTTTCAAATTATGGCAAAAACTAATATAACGCGTATATTATTTAGTTTTTTTTACGGGGGGGGGGGGGGGTTATGAATCTATTTTCATCAGTTGATTTTTTTTGTCGTTGAACAGCATTCCTTACATATATCTTGTACCAGTACATAATTATGTTTTATAAACAGAGAATGAAAATTAAAGCTAATTTCCAGAAGTTATAAAAGGCGACATATTCTTTTTTATTTTTTTTTTTAAATTATTAAAATTTCCTTTGGATTACACATGCCTCCAACGTTTTAGCAAAGACAATGATGTTCTTAGCAACATAGCTTGTGAGAGAAAATAACTGTTGATCATTTAATTTCGCTGAGTCGGCAATATTTTACCAGTTTTAGGCGACTTCAGGGGACGAAAGTGAATAGCTATAACGGTTGTTACTAGCTGCTTACATTAATCATTCCTTGTCCGGACTATCTCGGTCAAGCGAAAATTAACCTCGAATGTGTTATGCATGTGTTCAAGAGAAACATCCCTCCCCTTTCAAAATAATCAAATTAAATGTAAAATGTTATTGTAGAGTTTTGTGCTAAACGTCATTGAATGGTATATATTCATTGCATGATAAAGAGAGAAGATCTATTCATCTAATAAAAATCATATTGATTCCCTATTTTGCCCTCTTGAGTGAATAGAATTCTTCATATCTCCAAAACATTCATGCAATATTTGTTTATATACCGAAATAATATGAGGTTAAAATAGAAACCTGTTATTTTCTACCACATTCGACAAGTTTTAAAAATAACTAAACTTCATTTTATTTATAACACATTTTTCACCATAGATGAATAATAACAAAAAGTGATAACCATGAGTAATAAGTATCACAGATTACAGAAAAGACAGGGAATTATGAAGTTTTAGTTCCCTGTCACGTGACGTACTGTCTAGAATCAATCAGATAACGTATTTTAGCATATTATAATGAGGTTTAAAGCGATTTAACCTAAAATAAACTACAGACTCTGAAGGGAAAATCTACCCTGTCTATCCAATACTATAATAATAATAAAAGAAAGTGTCTCCAATCTGTATGGATGATTAATTAAAAACAATGCAGCTCAAGGCTTAAGCTAAGACGCGATTGAACACTCCACTTCAGTTTGTTCTTATGTATAAAAAATAAAAACAGTATAATATGTGAAAACTTTAATATATAATTCATATTTGAATATTAGCTCTATATTGAGAATGTATAATAAGCACATGAAAAGATGTGCGAATTGGATTTTTTTTAATTTATTTATATGAACAAAGCCCCCCACCCCCACCCCCTCTAAACGAAAATCCTTTTAAAAAGACATCTCGTTCTCAATTTCCACAAAAACACACACAGGTAAAATAACGTCGCTTGCATCAATCAAAATGCAACCAAAACATTGGCGGGTTCTTTGAATGAAAATTTTTATGGTAAACTGACATTAAAATATTTTCTTTAAAAAATACGCACCTCCTCCTTTCCCCGCGGGAATTGCAGGACTGTACACATACACCATAGGAGGAACTGATGATTTTACTAAAGATTCTTTACCTTTATCAATATACACTGTATTAATTTTTAAAAATGTATTTAAGTTTACATGCATGCACACATGTAGATATTAAATTTATTTCATTTTATATCATTTTTCAACCTGCTTTCCCTTTGTTGTTTTTTTATGTTTGTTTGTTTTTATTCTATTTTTTTTCAATTATGAAAACGTCGGTATTCTATATCGATGAGAAATACATGTACTTACCAACTGAGGAATAATTCAAATTTAACGTGAAAGGGACGCCATACATTTTTAAGTAAAAAATGCATAACACAGCGTTAGTCGTTAAATTTCTTCAAAGTTTTACATTTTGTGAATAATGCACAGGTTAAGAAATTAAATTGGGGAATAATTTATAGGGAAATAAACACAGACGACATGTAGTTATTTGTTTTTAGAACTTGTACTGAAAAATAATGACTCCACCGTGCCTTCTTTGCTACCCCAGCAGTGTTTGTCATGTGATTTTAAACTTGTCAGACAACCATTGAAATTGAGTTCAATAAAAATAAACTCCCAAGATACTGATGTACAAGTAACACTAACTGACACAATGCGCCGTTGCTTTATTTTTCTGTTTTTACAGAAAGTTGCACGGTATACCCGATTTCGCGGATTCAACGATACCCTGATATCGAGGACTATACGCGATTTCACGGATAATACCCGATTTCGAGTATTCTCTCCAACCTGTTCAATACTTTTTAATATGGGCGTATGAATAAGGAAGTTCAGACATACATGTTTAAGGAATAAACAGTAAGTCCTTAAATACTTCCTCAATAGCAAGTCTTATTGTTCCGCTTTCTAGTCATATCTTTAGACGTGATGTGTTTAATGATACACAGTGTCTTCCTTTAAGTTAATAATCTAAAATATTTATCATCTTTACAAGATTTATTTAACGGCCTATTTTATTATTGTAAGGGATAAGATGCTTTTAAAGAGAGTTATACAAATGTTTATACACATTATCGTGAATACGTGTAACCCATGACGGATATTAATTTTAAGTGGTAAATCAGAATAAGGTTTTATATGAATACGCCAAGTGAGCATGACCTCTGAACTTCCATTTATTAATTGTTTTCAGGAACTTGTCTCTATCTGTTTACCTTCGTTTATAGAAAGAAAGGGACACTATAGAATCATTTTAATACTAATGATATATTTTTATGTTCGTTGACATTGTGGAATATTAGTCCGCAGTAAATGAAATACTTCTCAAACTGTCATTCTTTAATTAATCATAAAGAAAATACTTTTCAACTCAGCTATAGTGTGCAATCAGTTCTTCATATAAACATGTATCGCAAATCTATATAATTTCTCGTTCAGCATGCTTTTAAACATTTTTTAATCGATAATTTGATAGTCGTTATTTTGTAAAGGCTAGTTTGTAATCTTTTTACAATTAAAGAATAATATATATTATAATAGATTGCTTTTGCGAAATACATTTTAGAGTAATAATAAAATGAAGAACAGGTTCACAATTTCGGTATTTGAAATATTCCTAAAAATGGAATGCATGAAAAAAATGGAAGAAAGCATTATTTTTACTTAATAATGATTCTAATTTCCCAATTGGAAAACCTTTATCAAATATTTTTAACAATTTCAGACTGTCTAGCAAATAGCGATTGCCATCAATACTGTCCTCACGGATTTGAAAGGAGATGCGAAGGTAATAAATGTTTCTGTCGAAGTCTGTCATGCAAAGCCAACTCAGACTGTACCCTACACTCCTGTGCATCAGGATATACTCCCATCTGTTCACCCACTTCACACACGTGTACTTGTGGCCGTATTTGTCACAGCAACAACGACTGTTCCCATACGAGGTGTACAAGAAGTGACGCTATGTGTACGACTGCGCAAAGACATACGAAAACATGTACCTGTGAAACGACGTGTTCGAAAAGCACAGATTGTTCCAACCACAGATGTTCAAATGGATACCTCGCAGTTTGTGATTCTGCGTCATGTGTGTGCAGAAGTCATTGTAACGGTGACGCATCTTGTCACTCTCTACGATGTAGCCCGGGAAAACAACCGTTTTGCTCAACATCAGACGGCTCTGCTTGTATGTGCTTTGGTAAATTTCCTTTTTATAAAATCTGCATTCTAAATAAATTCAAAATAGACATCGTTTAAATATATCACAGTGTATGTATCATGAATTTGTGGCTTTAGAACAAAGAATGCTGGTGTAAAGTTGAGGGTAATCCCCCGCTCTGAGAAATTCCACAAGTCATGGAAAAATTGTATTTTTCAAAACTGTGTCGTCACTATCATGTTTTACACATTTGATTTCTTTACTTTGTTTATTACTCATTGATAAAATCTATTTTTCGGTTATGCTTTTAGGTATGTAAAAAGAAAAAAAAAAGAGCCTCACGCATGATTTGAATGATCTTAAGGTCTTCAGATGACATTACTCGCAAAATAATTTTTGAAAAATATATTAACTTATCCATGAACTTTGAAAATTGTGAAATATATTGTCTCGGAGGGGAATTGTCCTCGCCTTGTACGCCCTCATTCTTGGAAGTTTTTATTTGTAGAATGTACAGCGGACTCACATTGTTCACATCATGCATGTAGTAGCGGTTACCACCATAAGTGTAACAAAAACACGTGTACATGCCAACCAAATCCGAGTAAGCTGGTCATTCTCATTCAGGTCCATGAATTTAAAAAAAAATGTTTTGTCATTTACATTTTGCTCTTATATAAGCTAATGAAATTATCTGTCAAATTTTCAAGATGTACTACTTCTTCATGCAAATGCACATTCATAACGGATTTCATTCACGAATACACATATATACATTTGCTTCCCAAAAAAGTATTCAAAACACTACATTAGTCAGGTAGTGATAAAGGAAGTTTTCCGTATATAATCATTCTTAGATAAACCTCATATGCTATCTTAAGTTTCTGAACACATTTTAACACAGTAAATGGTGGCTGGTCATCCTGGGGCACATGGGGCAGCTGTTCTACTTCCTGTGGAGCCGGAAGACGTATACGTCACCGCAGTTGTAATCATCCCCGACCTAAATATGGTGGAACAAATTGTGTTGGCAATTCTCAAGAAAGCCAAACTTGCTCACAACCATGTCCAGGTAGTTTAAGTCTAATTCCAGCAGCTATGTGATGAAAGTATGTACTAAGTATGTACTTAGTCTGCTGAACGCATTTTATTCTGATCCTATTGTTTCTCTAAGGAACTCTCCTAAGCATTTTGATTCCAACGTGACAGGATTAAATATTACTATCTTTCAATTTTTTTTCAGAGTGCAAAAAGGTCAAGTTTAACTGAATTTCATACGAAGCAAGGCATTTGTCACCTGTGTTTCTCTCTACCATTTTAATTCTTTATCATAGTAGATATTAAAAATATACCTCACGAAAAACTGACATTACAAAACTTTCAGGGGTTTACCTCTTTACCATCAATTGTTTTCTTTAATTTATTGACAAAACAATACGTTCTTCTGGTCAAAGAGCTCTTTTCCCTGAGAGAGAGAGAGAGAGAGAGAGAGAGATATCTTTACTATGAAGAGATATTCTTTTAAGATTTCGCATAAACGAAGAGATAGCACTTGAAATCTAAAGGTATCTCTTAGAATTAAAGGAGTTATTTTTAAACGGCGTGTTAAAAGATAAATCTTTGTTTTCGGAAGAAATACTAAGATGGCCTGTCATAAGTAGATAGAAAAATGACTTTTTTATCGTCTTTTTCTAATAAATACTGTGCAAACATTTTCAAACATTGTAAAACTAAATACTGTATATATAGTTGACGGAGGATGGTCTGTTTGGAATTCTTGGTCGTCCTGCTCAAGGTCATGTGGAAGAGGATCGCAAACCCGTAGTAGAAAGTGCACGAACCCCGCCCCTGCCAACGGAGGAAAAAATTGTGGTGGATCTAATCAAGAAACCAAAAGCTGTCAAGTTACACACTGTCCAGGTATTTTGACAAAACATTACGTATACCCATGTACATGTTATTATCTTTTTAAGATATCATTCACTTTATAAACCCCCAAGCCTACAGAATAGTAATTTTAAGAAAGCATACCTCAATATCATCTTTCCAATAGTGAATGGCGGATGGTCAAGCTGGGGCCGATGGGGTGGATGCTCTACAACGTGTGGAGCAGGAGCTCAAATACGGACCAGACATTGTAATCACCCCACACCAGCCTATGGTGGGAGAACGTGTACAGGCAGTAACCACGAGTCACAGAGTTGTTCCCAGGTTCCATGTCCAGGTAGGACAGGTTCTGCTTAGCCGTGAAATTAGTTGGTCATTTTGAAATACAAAATAAGCACGTGTTCTCACTTCAGTGAACGGGGGATGGACTAGTTGGGAGAGTTGGTCAACCTGCAGTGTAACGTGTGGTGCAGGAATAGAATCTAGAGTCCGGTCTTGTACACAGCCAGCGCCAGCACACGGAGGAAATCCATGTACTGGAGATCTGAAAGAAACACAGACTTGCATCCTAGCACCTTGTGCCCGTATGCCATTTCTCACAAATATTCTTTTTTTTTTTATTTTATAGGATTAAAATGTGCATGAAACAAAGATTTCTATAGAAAATGTTTCAATTTGATATTTATCGGTCGGGCTCTTAATTTGCCTCCCCGTTCATCTTTCTGCAAAGTTTCCGGAAAAGTTAAAAAAAAATTCAATGGATAATCTCGGAAAAGGTAATCTTGATACTGTCTTTTCCGACATATTAAATAAAAGTGTATATAAGGTTTAAAATGAAAAAAAAACTGGAGTAGGCTTCAGTGCATACACTTCAAATGTCAGCATTTTTTTCATTTATGTTAGATCACTTTTGTCCTTATAAAAATACTGTTATTTGCTTCATTTTATCATAATCTAGTTAACAAGGTGTAGGTTTGGAGATTTTCTTGTCTTTTCTACCTGTACGCAGGTTCATGTAAAGACAGTAGTGCTCAGTGTGGGTTGTTGAAGGACGTTTTCTGTGCTCCAGATAACGTGGACGGCCAAAATGTTTGCCCACACACCTGCGGACTTTGTCGTAAGAAAAAAAAAATATGTAAAATGTAAAAAGCTGAATATTTGATATATTAATGCAGTAATCTTTTAATAATTTAAGTTTATCTATTATAATTCAAGCGGTGGATGGTGCTTGGGGGACTTGGACAAAATGGACTGTGTGCACTTTGACCTGTGGGGGAGGGGTCAAAATGAGATCACGTCTGTGCAACAACCCATCCCCCTCACATGGTGGACTGATGTGTAGTGGATCTGCACAGGGTGTAGCCGATTGCAACACTCAACAATGCCAAGGTGATAAGATACACATTATAGGATGTGAGATTATATTATCCTATATACAGGACTGATGATGATAATTAGCACATAATTGTCTTTAACACTACAAGACTTGGGTCTTTCTTCTTCTGAGAATTTGCCATGCTTTTTTTCATCTTCTATGTGGACAGAATGATCTGTTTTATACATTTACGTTATAAGTTAAATTTTCGAAAAATTACACCACCATAAAGGCTTCAAAGTAGGTAGGCATGAAAGCGCTTAATAGCTAATTTGAGTATTTTTAGTATTGTAAAGTACTGTGAAAATATTTTTGAAATAAAATTGTATCTCTGTGCATGTATTTATACTCATTACAAGAAACTATAAGAATGATATATCCGTCATTAGCATTAATATATTTTCTGTGTTGATTCTAGGGTACTTGATTAGTCTAGGAGAATAATAGCATACAACTACATGCTTAATAGTGAACATAAATACATATATAGATTTACATTTTAGTTGACGGATTATGGTCTGTTTGGGGAGACTGGACATCATGCACTTTATCTTGTGGCGGAGGATCACAATACCGGTTTCGGTCATGTTCGAATCCCTTGCCTTCGGGTGGTGGAAAAGATTGTGTCGGCAGCTTACACGATGTACAATCGTGTTCACAAACACCCTGTCCAGGTAACTTTTCAGTTTAATATATTGTTCACCTCGTCTGAACGGGATAACATCTCAAGTGTGAATGTATTCTTTTTTTCTGTGTTCTATTTGTCATTTTTTATCATATAAGAAGATTTCATTTACTGAGGTATGTCACGTGATACACTTCCGTTTCTGATATCGATGCGCGCCCGCGGAATATGATATCGACGGCTTGTTTGTTATCACCGTGTCTAATGAAAGTAAAAGCCATTCCAAGTTTTTTTTAAGTTTGTCGTCCGGGGACGTATTTGTTCTGAGGAATGAAAATTTAAAACAAAAAAAAAACCCGAAGAATCTAGACCTAAAAATATTCGAATGTCTTTAAAATCCGTTGAGGTCGCTTTACCATTCCTTCTTTACATTCTTTTCAAGGCTTATGATAAAAATTGGGATTTTTATATACTTTTAGTTTTAGTTTAGTTTTAAAGCAGTATAGCGTGGTGGTTAGCATGTAAGACTCGAAGGGAAAATTGATAATCAGGATTTTTATTGCTTCGATTCAAACCTTAATAATACCATTTTGCCAAAAGAATTTTCCGCAGAAATGTTTTGTTTGTCTTAATTTCATAGCTTTCAAGGATAAGAACTTTGCTCTAAATACTAAATTAAGAAATTGAATATGAATTGTACATTTGAAGCTATAAGTATTTTGTATGCTTTGTTCGCTTATTTCCTTTCTTCCTGATAGAGAGAGGGTTATGAGTTTTGGGTGGATTCTAAAGATAAAAAAATGAAAACGTTTTGGAGAATACAGCAGCTAGGAATGCTAAACGTTTTACAAAGCTTACTAGTTTACAGGTATATTGTCTCAAGGCTGTGAGTCTATTTTATGTATCGGTAATTCCACAAATACGTATTTTGGTTTATCAGTTGAGGTGATTATATAATATAACTATTATAGACTCTAGTGGACTTTAGTTCACGGTCAGTGTATGGTTATATATTATTCATGTCAAACAATATTTTTCTACAACACAGTGATATCGCTTGCACTGTATTCTGTCAGTATCACTTGACTGACAGACAGTCAGTATCACTTGACTGACAGACATGAGTCCTTAATTATAACAGTCTACATATCGACCTTCACTGGTCCATAATTGAATCGTATTCTACTCACTGACCTTAGCGAGCATATCTCTAATCACAAAAATTTTGATATTATAAAATGCCAAAATTACGCTCCATATAATAGGAATCTACAGTAATGACAACACTAGTCAATAACAATGCTCCTGTTAATTATTTAAAATGTTTTGAAATCAATTGCAGGGGAATAAAACCTAACACAGTTGTTTTTTTTTTTTTTTTTTTGGGGGGGGGGGGTGGAATTTGGGAAATGCATGAAAAGAACGCTATTTTTATTTTTGAAAAATCAATTAACTGGGGTCTTCATTATTTAGTGGACGGAGGCTGGTCGTCTTGGACAGATTGGTCATCTTGTAGTGTAACCTGTGGATCTGGCCACGAAACACGGACACGTGCCTGTAACAATCCGCTTCCTCTGTATGGTGGCAGGTCATGTGATGGAAACGTCACAGAAATGAGGTCTTGTAATCAATCCGTGTGCCCATGTAAGATTATACATCTTAGCAACACTTTCAGTTTTGTTGTACCAGATTTAAAGAAAAGGGAAAAAGTTGTGTAAAATGTCAGAAAATAAGGAAAATAATGTAAACTGGTACCTAATTATATGATTGGTAAAGTCTTTATATGAATTGTTGCTAGAGGGGAATGTTCAATGTTGGTAGTATCATTTTGGCAGTTTATTATCAGTCCATTATATAAAGATGTATTTACTCTGTAAAATACCTTTTATCTTTCATTAAAAATGAATATTCGATTCTCCTTAGATGTTTGTAAAGACTTGTCCCCCGACTGCCAGACATTCAAAAGTATGTTCTGTTCTCCTGAACATCCCTCTGGTTTCCAGCTTTGTCCAATCACGTGCGGAACATGTAGTATGATTCCATATGATTTAATAAAGTTCCATTTGTATAAAGAAGAAATTTTATAGTAAATATTTCTATTTTTCACTCTTCTGTTTGCTTTTCCTTTTTGTACTTTCCTTTTGAATTTGCTAAAAACTTCCTTTGTTTTCCGAAAAATAATCTTTATTTTTAATTATCTATTAACGTATTTTTACAGGAGTCGATGGTAATTGGTCTGATTGGTCTTCATGGAGCGTATGCAGTGTATCCTGTGGCAACGGCACCAAAACTCGTTCCCGTCAGTGTTCCAATCCTGTGCCAGCTTATGGAGGGAGAGACTGCAATGGGACATCTAGCGAAATAGATAATTGTATTCAATTACCATGTCCAGGTGAGTTTCATGATTAAGAATTTAAACTTAGGGAATTACATGTACTTAAAGCATTAATTAATTAATAAATCTAGTGAGTTGTTTAATATGTTAATTAAGTAGGAAAATATAAAGAGAAATCAAACACTTATTATCATTAAAGTCAAACACTTATCATTAGAGTCATTTCAATCTGATCTATTGCAATCAATTCCCGTCTGCCATCATCTGTCATTGATAAACTTCAGATTACATTCACTTAAGATTTAACATTTTGTTACGTTCCGATAAGTTTACCTGTGAAATTCGGATTAACTGTTGTTGACAAGTTCCGAATAAACGGACCCTGAACCCGATGTGTATAAACTTCTAAATGTCAATGAACAATGAACGAAAGAATTGAACAATAATTGATTATTTGAACTTTATCAATTTGATTTATGTATTGTAATTACAAAGCGTTATATTGTATATGTTCTATATAGGTACAACGTTATTTAGTAATTTTAGTGGTTAAAACCCGCTAACTTACAAATTAGATATTGATTGTGACGTTATTGGTATCTGACGTTTATACGTCACCATAACAACTTTTGTCTATAAAAGACAGCTGTGTTGTGTTTAGAAGTCAGTCGACTGTGGAGAGCGACTTAGCATCTCTCGAGTAAGACAGTGGTATGTACAAATATTACCAAGTCTAATTACGTTTAACCATATATTGTTTTTTGCGACATTAGTTCTTATAGTTTATAACCAAATTAATGGTAACGTCCTGGATCGGTTCATCACTATCAAATAACGTTGTACCAACCAAGTTTATCATTGTGCTTATAGTTGAACCATTTGATCGTCTTAATAAATATCATAAACTTAACAACGTGTTATTCATCACGGTTCTAGTGCAGATATTATAGTGAACTAAAATTTGGTCATTTCGCCAATTATTTAGTGGACCAAAAATTGGTCGTTATTCCGATTGTATATAAATTTTGTGGACAACCATTTCAACCTGGACCAGTTAGCAGAAACCAACAGCGGCCCACGATTAATTGATTAAGTAATAATCTTATACCCTCGGTTTCGTTACAATATTTATGGTACATTTTATATGCAACATCCTCAGATTAGGACAGATGTTGAGGTTTAATTGACCAGGATCCTGTACCCTTTCAATTGGGAATTTTAAATCGAGAAAGTGGCAAAATATGAAAATATTGATGTTTTACATTATTATTTTATTTTTATTTTTGAAGAAAAAGTTACATTAAAGGCTTATTCCTTATTCACATCTTTATGAATCATTAAAGTCTTAAAATTCGAGTGTTTTTGAATATAAAAACCACTGAAAAATTCAATCTGCTTGTCATTTGGGAATTTTACCTAAACTTTAGGGAAAAAAAGAGTAAATTTTCAATTTGGATAGGGTTCTTTTACAGGACCTGGATATAAGGGTTGTTAAGCCCTTAATGTTCACTATTCAATAAAACGAATCTTACCAAATACCTTTTTACGTGTGAGACCAAATCCTCCAAAATACATATTTCTGAAAATCTTTTTCTAAGTTTCGAAATATTAAAGTTACAAGAAATAATCCTGGATCCTCTTGCAAAACTGACTTAAACTGTAAATTTTAAATTATATTCCCTGAGAAAAGTGCTCAGGTTCTGAAAAAAGAGGAATGTTACATATCGATCGCCAGGCTGTCAATGTTAACCGTTTCGCTGGTCTTCCAGTTGACGGAGTTTGGTCAGACTGGACTAGTTGGTCATCGTGTTCCCTGACTTGCGGAGCTGGAGTGCAGACACGTGACCGACAATGTGATAATCCAGCGCCCTCTCACGACGGACAATTCTGTTCAGGAGACCCTTACGGGATTCAGAGTTGTACTGAACTGGAATGCCCTGGTAAGACCTATTATTATGAATATTGTATTAAAGGCTGAGTCTACCTAAAATGTGACAAATGCTCATAGTTTTTTTACGTTAAAAAATCAATTTTACAGAAGAAAGATATAGAAATTTTGAATTAACGAGGTTCGCTCCTGAGCTTTTGAGCAGATTTATATCTTAACCTATATTTCAAAAATTCTGCATAAAGTTTTAATTCTTACAATAAATTTGGATTCTGCAATGCCAATTAAACTATATTCAGTTAAAACTCCATGATTAAATTCCATACCAAAAGCATTAATTGAGGAACTATATTTTGTGGCGGAATGTTTTTAGAAGAAAATGATAATTTTTTTTTCTCTTTCTAAGTATTTAAAGTATGTTAAGTTTGCATTCCTATCTTTCCATGCAGCCTGCACACAGAGTTATTTTGTACAGTGAACTGTTTTATACTGGTCCTAAATTATATATCAAATAAACTGTCATGAATTCTATCATCATATTTGATAAATATAGCAAATATATTGTGAAAATCAAGAAAAAATATCACTATTTTAAGCTTAAAATTAGCACTATTTTAGTAATATCTAAAAATTAACATCACAGACCCCCACTTTTTATTTTATTTTCTGAATATATAAGATACTTTTAACCATTCTTCTTGAATTCAGTAAAATGTCATTACTATCAAATTATTTTTTTTCTTGTTAGATTTTTAATGCCAGAAAAATGAAATTTTTTGAGTGTAAAAAGGACAAATAATTGAACATGCGGAGTAATTTGAAATTTTTTTCGTTGTCACAAATTTTAATGTGTCTATTCAAGATGAAATAAGGCTGTGTTTGTTCCCATAATTTATTGAATAAAAAATATTGTAGGAAAAACTTTAAGAATTGATTTATGTGTAAGATGTATTTACAGTGCAAAAAGGTCAAACTAAATGCTCTGTAGCGCCAAAAGAAGCGCATTGACCCCAAGCACTGCATCAATATTCAAGTCATTATGCTTAAATTAGATATATATTTAAAACACAGTATTTTGATTGCAGTACGTATTTTTTTTTTATAAATTGTTATCGAACATTCAGGGGTGTATAGTTTTTTTGTCTGTCCGTCTTCCTAGCTGTCTGTCTTTCCTGTCCGTAACTTTTGAATGGTTGACGTTTGTGCCAGTGTTTTACAGGGGCGTGTGTTTTATAAACGCATTTCTTTTATATTTTGTTGAATCTTAAGTGATCGTCGAGTTTTATGTAAATCATGGTTTACAGTTGACGGGGGCTGGAGCGACTGGACAGGGTGGTCGCCCTGTAGTGTTACGTGTGGTACAGGAGTAAACACTCGAACACGTGCATGCACGCAACCTGTCCCCATGCATGGTGGATTGAATTGTACAGGAGTTGATTCAGATACACAACCCTGCAATAAGACCGACTGCCCAGGTTAGTTTCGCTTATCACCACAATCTCTTGATATAGTTATGTTGTCGTAGAACGTGCAAATAGTCCTTTGTTTAATTTGCAATTAAATTAACTTCTTGAATTTGAGTTTAATAATACATGTATACTTACCATTTTAAGATTCCAACGAAGGTTTTCAATAGAATTGATCTTTAGCTTCATACCTTATCTCTGTCAGTTGCAGACTTTTATAGCTGTGGTCCCGTTTGTTTAATTCAAAAAAGATGAAAACTTGTACATGTACATGTATCGTATCTTAAAGAAATGTTCCAAAAACACTCAAATACTGTAATGTGCAATACCAATATTCTGTATGCAGCCGTTTGTGAAGACCATGATCCGGGCTGTCCAGTGTTTGCCAAGTACACCAATATGTGCGCCCCAGACAACCCACAGGGTCCCATTACCTGTCCAAAAACCTGTGGTATATGTGGTAAGCACTTGGAGCAGAATATTTATGTGCTATTTATTCACATTCCGGGAGATATTTTTCTTAGAATTAAAAATCTGTTAGCATTTGGTAAATTTAGTGAGTATACAATATATTTATTTGCTAAACATCAGTCACGCACTTTAAAACTTCTGTTTACCCAATGTGTAAGGGTTTATGAAATAGCAGACATTACACTTGAAAATTGTTCGTATTTTAAAAGTCTACTGAAGAAGCTTCACATTTTGATTTTATTCTTTATGGTGTCCAATTTTAGTGTACATTGTTTATCCATCAGTCTTTAAAGAGTCTAGACTGATCAGAACTTTGTTTATACAAATGCAGTAATTGATGGTGGTTGGAGTTCCTGGGGATCATGGTCTGCTTGTAGCGCCACATGCGGTGATATGATCGCTAGGAACCGGAAACGTGTGTGTGATAATCCAGTCCCAGGCAACGGAGGGAAAGATTGCGAGGGAAAGTCGATTGAGTTGGGGTTGTGTAACGTCACGGCGTGTCCAGCAGGTGCGTTCTCATTTGTTTCATTGTGTTCGTATCTGAATTTTATTTCCTGCTGAGCAATTCATAGAAGTTCCGTTTGTTCAAGGATTCATTGTGATGTGAAAACTCTTCTCTTTGATTCAGACAAATTGTATCTTTTACACAAAGATAAGTACCTCTGTAAATAAGATATTCAACTTTCAAATCTTATATTGTAAAAATGATATCTTTGTGTAGTTGAGAGTTACTTTATTGGGAAAAAAAATAAATACATTCCTATTTTTTGAAAAGAAATACAATTTGATAAATTAATATCTAATTACGAGATATATTCTGCCTCCTGTGTGAATAGCTATTACAAATGTATGCCATAATTTAAGATTATAACATTAGTATCATTCGCTATAGGAAAACCTTGTCCTACCTGTGATGAGACTCTCTCGTGTAGCTGGAACTCTACCTGTGATATTTCAGAAACGTGTATGATTAGGTCCTATACTGGATACAAATTTACTGTACACTGCTCTAAGGTAAGAGACGTTCACCAACAGGTTCTGGTCATAGTTAAAGAGAGTAAAGTATAATTAAACTCTGTGAAGGACAAGTGTAATTTATACCCTTGAAGAATATTGGAATCACTGAGTTCGTCTTCCGAGGTAAATATCATTGCTTAAGGAAATTTTAGTCTTATCTAATCTTACAGATGCAGTGCATCTTTGAATTTTAATGAGATGCAGGCTTTGATTTTCCTCTTGTGGAGTATATCTCTGCCCTAAAGATAACTATATTTTGGTCCTTTGGCAAAAGATGTGCAAACGATGTAGAAGGCAACATCCTAATTTAAAGTAATAAACATTGATGTTTGGTTAGGTCTTTATGACTACTCTATGAATAAATGAAACAAATACTAGTATAGTGTTTTGCTCTAAGGTAAGAACTTTGTATGAATTTTTCTTGATCATTAAAGTTTGATTTAGGTCCGCAGCTGTTACTGAATGATAAAGTTAAATTACGGGTGAGCAGTACTTTTAAGTTAGAGCTTACTGTGATGATGACATACATATACACTTTAAGAGTTTTATAATATTCATTACCACAGATTACTTCATACTTCTTTAAAGGATTTTTGATTGTAGACGACACAAAGAGACGATAGACGATACAAAGAGACATATGTCTAAGAAGTTTATTAGCTTAGCTGAAATTGCACATGACAAGGGTATACATATAAGGGATCTGAATAACGTGAAATGTCTATCCAATCCGATGTTAACATTCTGTATACAAATAATTGGGAAAATGGATTTTTGGTTAAATACCGTTTACTAACATGTACCAACAATGGCAATATTCCTTAATGACATGTACAGGTTATTCCTGCATATATATTTTAGTGCAATTCTGTTATACTTGAACTTTCAGGAACGCGTGACATTCTCGACACCACATAATTACTAATTAGTGTCTTTCAAATGGGGATCTAGATTCTCATTGGTTGCTGGCTCATCAATATTCATAACTTATCACAAATATATTGTATTATTTCAAGCAGGTAAAAAAGAAAAAGGCAAAATTTTGAAGTTTTCTTTTCTTTCTGCGTGTTTTCTAGATTGCAAAAATTAGCACACATTAGAATTAGTATTTCAATGACATTTATTTAATTTCTAATGTTTCTTTCGGTGGCAGTAAACAATTTTTCACGTGGAAGCACTTACGCTGGAAACATATTAGGATCTAGCATAGGAGGTGTAGATTTGGATGGTTATCAGATACTTTCCAATACGTAGATTGCATAGAAGTCAGGCCCGTAGCAACGTTTTTCAAAGTAAAGAGGGAGGGGCAGCCTCTAAACATTTGACAAGAAGAAAAGGAGAAAAAACTCCTTAAAGTGTAAGGGCTTGTACAAAATTGTGAATTTAACGTCTATTTTGGAGGAGATCTGTACCAACACTATATGAAATACTGCACGTGTACATAAATTGACGTATTCAAAATTTAGCGCAATCAATGTGTATTGAGTAGTTGGTGAAATCATGATTTAGCGTTACACATGTCTGCGCCATGTATTGCATTTATTTATGATTTATTAACGGTAATCATGAATTAGCGCATTCTTGTTCTCGCCAAAAGCGCTAAAATATGAAGCCCGCTTTTTTAAGAACACATACAGAATATGTACCTCGAAGTTAACATTATAATACATACCCACCCCATCCCCTCCCACACACAGTCACTCACCATTGAAAACGTCTCCTTAAGTTGTACACTTCTATTTTAACTGCAATGCAATATTGTGGTCTGATCTTCATTTTTTTTCAATTTTGATTACAAAGTCGAATAAATAACAGAAGGACGAAAGACTGAAATTTACATCTTTTCATTCGCGGGTGAGATATACATGGGATAGAAATTCGGGCAAACGTCAACGAGTATAGCAAGGGCACCAATGACAGCGTTTGTCATTTTAAAGAGGTGGGCTTTAGTCATCTTATCATTTTTCAACTCATCATTTTTCAACAATTTAAAGAATTTCTTAACGAATGAGAATATGGATTACCATTTGACTGATTGTTTATCAAGCGTCTAGAATGTCATGTTCTAATGAAAGTCCAAAGGTAACGGAGATTTGTACAATCAGATGCAGTTGTAAAAAATATCATAAACTGTTCAGTTTGGTGCTGAATATTCACACTTAAGTTCTAAATATTAAAATTGGGTTTCATAACACATAATTATTCTGTTTTTTTATTATATTGTAGGTTGAGGACTGTTCGTTTGAGAGGGATGTGCTTACTACGGGGGAGATATACTGTTGTGACGATAGAGCATGTCTCAGCACTGTATTAGGTGTATAGGGAGGGTTTTGTAGCTTTGTGTATTTTGAAAATAAAATAAAATGGATATTACGTATTGGATAGTCTCCTGTGTATCATGTCATTGAGCTACTTTGACATGATCAACTCAGTCCCACCTTGATTTGAAACTCGGGGCTCATGTCAGATGAATTTTACAGTATGGTTAAGACTCTTTGTTTACTATTAAATTTATAAAGATTATCTCCTAGATGCTCAGGAGTAAGGAAGATAAAAAAAATTCGATTAATTTATCTGATTAACTTAGCCTAAACATATGACCTGAGTGATGACCTGCATGGGGACACATATTTTCAAAAAAAATGGTAGTGGGAGAGTGGCTAACATCCATCGGAGTGTCTCGCTGTGCTTGCTAAATTTCCACAAATAAAAAGATTTTTAAAAGTAATCAGCACAACCAAACCCTATAAAATTCTGCTAGCTGTCATCGAAATAATGAAGATTTTCCAGGATGTACTTTGATTATGATAACAGTATTATGCAAAATGCAATTTGTGCAAATATGATGAAGATTATCATCAGATACTTTATTTGCCGATATTTGGCTGAAATATTGCCGACTCGGCGTTAAACAATAAACACTCTAAAAACTAGACATCTCAATGACCCCTAGACCCAGGGCCAGGAATCATGCAGTCTTGTTTGAATCGTGCAATCTTGTTTGAGTACGAAGTCCTCCTTGAAAAGAAATATGCACACAGTTTACCTGACTTCATGAGTACAGATGTTCGAAATTGCAAAAACGTTTATTGTGTCGACCACTAGTTCTTTCTCAAGTTTTACATTCATATTCAGAATTTTTGTTCCGAAGCTACACGTGCAACTCTCTCTCTCTCTCTCTCTCTCTCTCTCTCTCTATCAAATTACATTTTAGACTACGAACGTTTTAGACTTTTTAACACAATGCCGTCTAGTGATTCGTCCGTGTGCGATAACTATTTGAGGAACTCATTACAGATACATAATTGTTTAATCAGTATGAGGATGCAAAGATAGATTAAAAACTGCCATAATATTTCCTTGTGTTATCCTCTGTATAAATAAGTGAAATTCATACCTCAAGTTAGTCAAACCTCAACATCTTTAACATAGTGAAGGAAATAATGGCTAAATGCTCCCGTCTTCAAATGTTATTGCGAGCGCTTGGCATTTCCGTCACGTCTTACGACACGTCCAAA